ATCGACTCTGGAATTTGCCTCCCTCCCTTGTCTGACAGAGCTCACATCTGCTAACCTACAGGACACAGCATAAAGCTCATTTTTTTCTCATGCCCTTTGTTTTAAAGTGCTGCCAGTGAAAAATTGCAGGTCGCCGTTTGCTTTCTAAAAGGATTGTGGAGAAGTAAAATAGTCTTTCCCTCACCTCTCTCAAAGAAAGTAATTGTACAATTAGGTTTGGGTACGCACCTGAGGCATAAGGTGGTTTTTGAGAGATAAATAAAAGCCTAAAAGAAGAAGCTACAAAGATACCACTGCCTAATTCAGGAAGGTAGAGAACAGGAGCAGATCTAAAGTTAGCAATTTCCTTATACTATAGTCATTTTGCTAAACTTCAGTAATTTCCCCCCCAACTTACCCTTTTATAGATATGTTTCACAGCGTGCATTTTTGTACCTAGTCCTTGTAAGGCTGGTAGCAAGAGCACGGCTGTGCCTGAGCTTGCTGGTGTTCATACAGGTAGTTTTGCTGCCTAGTTAAGCTTGTTTTGGGGGTTTTCTTATATTTACCGAGGTGTGCTAGGTACGTTATGGGCTTTTTGTTTTGATTGTTTTGCATTATAAAGGCTGAGCTCTATCTAGAGCGCGGTTGTGGCTGGGTGGCTCTCCGGCCCCACCAGGGAAAGTGTGAAAAGACAGGACCTCACTATCCATGATCTGGCTGTAGCTTTGGGATCAGGCAAAGCCAGAAGCAGGAAGAGCTTCTACTTCTGTTCTTCTAGAAAACAGTTTTATCTTTTCCTAGGGAAAGGTAAGGGAATAAATATTTGGTTTTGCGCTTAACTGAGTTTTAGAAACGAACTGGGATGGGGCTGATATAAAGCATGTTTAGATTAGAGAGGGATTTTTCCTGAAACAGCTGGACAAGAGGGTGCATGATACGCTTTCTCTCTTAAGCAGAGAAGAAAACTATTTAGATTCTCACAGGTGGTAAAGCAGTCGATCCTCTGCCCGGGTGCCTGCGGTGGGAGGCAGTTTCTGTTCTGTGCATCCCCGTAACCTTACTGCGTAAGGCACCCGGGCTACTGGCAGGTAGGAAGGATTAGACGGAACAGGCATGTATTGCTCAGGAGCTGTTTTTAGCATCCGAAGTACAATTTCCAGGAAGATGTAGGGTAAGTAGGTGGCAAACAGGACTCAGCCTAGTAAACAATGTTTATGTGAAGTGGAGCTGCAGCACACTGACTACTTACAATCCCTAAAGGAATTTTGAGGTAAAGAGCAAAGCGAGGGCATTAGAGAGCAGCAAACACCGTTTAGAGTGGCGAGTGACAATGCGAACTCCGGCGACAAAGAGCAGGTTGCTAGTTTAGTGTTAGCAGCCGCACGGACTCTGAGCACATATCCTGCGTTTCACAATTACTTTTGTCGCTTGGTTAGGAAAAAAAAAAACAACCCCAAACTCAGAACTCTTTATCCTTTATTAGTGGTGTTGCTACTGATAGGCTAGTCCCTAATTAATGTGATGGTACTTTCCCATTCCTCTACCACTCTCCTTATTACAAGTCCTCGGCAATATGAGAGACGTATCTATTACTTAGTCATGAGGTATCCAGACCAGCTTGCTTTTGAAACTAAAGACCGTGTACCCCAGGCATACTGTATTTCTGATTTGCATATGGAAAAGGCAGTTAAAAAGCTGATGCCCCCATATTGCTTGCGAGTCAAGTAGCAAAAGTAAATGATTTATCAAGCAAAGGTTACAACACCTGTGCCTTTTTGTCAACATATACAGAGGATGCCAAGTCAAGTGCTTCTTCTAATAGCTCAAACAGAAATTTAGATTCAAATAACCCCCCAGATAGGACAATTATGCAGTGAGCCGCTGGAGTGGCAGAGTGATGGATGGGGTAAGCAGAGGCAGCGACTGAAAAAGCAAACCAACTGAAAAGTTTTGAAGCTGCTAAAACCAGAGAAAGCCAACAGCCCTTTTGGGGTTTTGTTACTGAATCAGAACTACTGACTTAAATCAGTTTATTTCCTGGTCTCTTCTGTCATGGAGTTGTCATCCTGCTACAACCTTTGTTGACACAGGAAGATGGCCTTTTTCTAAATAAAGTATTATAGAAAGTCTATAAAGTTCCTTTAAGGGATTATATTTGAAGCAATCTGACATAAATTAGAATATGCTGCTAATGGAAATGTCTAATGCTAATTTTTATAATGCCCATTAAGAAAGGCATGTACTGGTTTTGATTGTTTAAAAACAGCCCAGGACAGAATGATCCTTGCTCAAACCCAGCTATGCTGTTGTACATTTGTCTGAGATTTTATTCCAATGTTCTGTGAAAGCCTGTGAATGCCCATGTATGGGAAATGCAACTTCTGCTGCACGGCACTGTCACATCCCTGTGCACAGACTCACTTTTGCAGTGTTTTAAGACTAATAACGATGATGCGTAACTCAGATCACCCACCAATTGGAAGAGAAAATCAGAGCCACCAAAACGCTGACCGTAATGTTTTCTTAGAGCTTGTAGCTGGACCTTAATTTTAAAAAAGCAGACGTTCAGATACAGTCTTCATTTTTTATTTTGTTGATCCAGCAGTAAAGTGTTGCTTAACCCTAATATTTAAGCTTGCCTTTCAGAAGCTCTGGGCATTCGCTGCTTCCTCTTGTCTCAGGGAGCTGTGTGGCCTGGCAGTTACTGGTCCTCAGGACCCATATCTTAGGTCGACTCTGAACGTACTATAAAAATCCTGATGGAAAGCAGCCACCTCAGCTGCTTTTAATAACACAGTCCTATGTGTTTTTATATTTTCATTTTGAAAATATCCTAAGCGACCATCCTATACACTAATGCCCTGCAAAAAAAAGAGTACAAAAGCATGTCTTTTTTTAGAGGAAAGCTAAGTAAATCCCAAATCATTGCAGTTAGTATTTTTACCTCACTTATCTGATGTAAAACACAGTCAACTTCAGAGCTGTTTCATGAATAAGTAGTGAGTTTTGCTGATAAATTATATATTTAGTATCAAGTGGGTTGTGGTGGTGTAATGATGTATAGAAGCACGGAGATGCAGCTGGAGTCAGAGACTGGAAGTCAGTCTCCTTACCCACTGCAGCATGTTTGACTTTAATTGAAAGCTGTGCTTGAGTATTGTTTTTCACTGTACAGCATTGTTATTCACTATACTGCATTACATAGAAGCACTTAAAGTAAGGCTAGAGCACTTTAAAATGATTTAAGTCATAAATAAGGAGGATAAAAGTTTACAGTCAACAAACTTATCTGGGAAACCTAGGCTGCAGGATGCAAATAAGTTTAAAATATTTTGGAGACTTAATACTTTTGTGTCTCACTACATAATCAATTTACCAACTAGTAGTTTTTCAAGTCTTCTGGAAAAGGTAAGTAGCATTCTCCAAAGGGTTTCAAGTTTCCTGAGCTATGAAGGAAAAGACCAAATGCTTAAGGACTTTAACAGTATGCCTTAACATTCCTCTTTCCCAATTTCAATGTATTTCTGTGTATTCCAGTTGTTTCCAAAACGACTGGAGAAATAGGATTTACACGTGAAGGCGCACGAAAACTTGTCACGTACATGAACGGAATAAAGGAAGAGGCCTGAAAAGTGGGGTGCAGGCTGCGTTTTGTTGAGGCATGAAAAAAAAAACCCCAGAACCTGATGGGTTAAAACCCCGCTCTGCACTGCTGGTGTACTTTCTGTGACCCTATTTAATGCAGAGAAGGTTTGAGATTCGATGTAGTTTAACCTGTGCTGTCGGCAGAGCTATAAACTAGAGCCCCTAACAAATTGTACACAAAGAACAGATAGCAAGAAAACACATTGCGTTCACGGGCATCTGGTTGCAGCCCTGTAAACCGAAAATCTTCATTAACGAGTGACTTGTGTTTCGTTGACAGCGTAGGTGCTGAAGCCATCGCAACAAGGAGTCTGTCTTCATATACGGGACTGTGGCATGTGGCAGCCATTCATCTGTACACTAATTACTCAGAGGCATAGAAACGATTTGAAAGAACTTACAAGATCTAAGAGTAGTACTCCCCAATTTGCTAGTTAGTTGAATTATTACTTTTTAGTCACCGCAACCAGCTCAAAACCAAAATTACAAATACTTCTTGCTGTTGACCTTTAAAAGAATTGTAACGTAGTCAAGCAGTCATTTAAAACTACAAACTACGGTTGTCCTAAAGCACTAGTTCTGCTCACTTTTTTATACCTTCTCCCCCATGATAACGTGATATTAAGCACAGACTTAATTTTTTCAACATCTGGCTCAAATTAGCTGCTAACAAAACTGCCAACAACTATTTTCTTAATCGACCCTGGGAATTTGATACAGCTTGGAAAAAGCACATTTAAACCTCGTCCTTCTCCTAAAGAAACACAAATGTTTACTTGAGCTTCTGATTTGACCATAGCAGGACTATGAATTCAGTTAACCCAGCTTTATAGGCCTGCCTCAACTGGACTTTTTTCTCTTTGTGTAAGGAAACAGATGTGCTCGCAATTACAAAATCTCCTGCTCGCTCAAAGCCCACCATGCAAATGGCCAACCAGGAATTCGAGGCTATTTTATTTTTTTTCCAGGGAAATCAGTGGAGCAGTCTCCCGTTGTATCTGGTGGGGGACTAAGGTGCACTGCGACCCGATGGGTCTCTCTGAGCTCCTTTTGCACGGGCAATGAAATGCACTGCCTTGGGAACAGGTTGGAGCAAAAGTCTTTGAAAACCCAGTCCTCGAGGGAAAAAACTGCGCTAGAAGCCAGTATCTTAGAAAGCAAGAGAGGTCTTTCCAGTTATGAAAGCAGCGTTATTACTACGTAAGCCCAAAAAAACACAACAGACAAACAAACTGCAAGTGACATTTCACTGTAGTTACTGAGACCATGTGGGTGAAGTGACAGCGGCAATGCAGCTGGCTCCGCGGGGACACGTTAGAGGACACTGAAGAAGAAGAGGCTGCAGGCATACAGAGAAGTCGAAAGCGGCCCACCTGAGTCTGTTGAGGGATATTTACAAAGCTTGGATCCCGTGGTCCAACACTGACGAATCGGTTTGCGGGGGAGGTGCTGGGTGTCGAGTAGGCTGTGAAGGGAAGGGACACATGCGTTGAGGAAGCGGCACTAGATTGCACACGAACAACACCAAAACACACCGTCTCAGAGCCACCTAAGCAGATGTTTAACATAGAAATGTGCAAAACGTTTTAGAGAGCGAGAGTTTGGTTTTAGACACCGGGAAAGGTTTGGTCCTTATGATGGGGATATAAACATGGAGGGGATTGGGCTGGTGGGAGAGGGCTCCTTGCCGGGCAGGACGGCCGCGACGTGCGCTTGGGAGAAGGTGCTGGGGTGACCTGCGCTGCTCTCCATCCCGCGGGAGAACCGCTGCAGGCCCTTCCACGTGGGGACAGCACACGGGGCTTCTGTACATCCTGGTATTGCCTGGCTGTTTTCACTTGAATATGGGGTATCTCTGGTTTTCATGGGGTTTTGTATAGCAGTGAATTTACTAACGTGCTTATTAACAGAATCAGACCCTTATTTCATGCTAATCCCGCATTCTCTCTTGATATAAAGTTTTGGTTTTCATACTGCTGTGGTCTGCACTCTCTAAAATGTTCACTTGATGTGTTTGACAAACTAGGAAGATCCTTTCGGTAAAAAATTAATGGGTTGCAGTTTCACTGGGGTGGTAAGTGCAATCAGTCTGAAGGCTGAAGCTGCCTTTAAAAACTGGAATGGCTCCCATAAATGTAAAGCTATTAAATGCAATGCAAGCCAAGAACCCAGATTACTTCCAAACTTGAAGTACTTTAATGATTTTATTGTTGCATTATATTCTCCACTGCAACTGTCCACAATGCCACGTACTTCCACATCCAAAAGCTTTCAATGCATTTCCAGTCTTCCTCTCATTTGAAAATCCCCCATGCAATCTTCTCCCCTCGTCAGGTTTTTGCATGTTCAGATCTAAATTCAAATAACCTAAATAGATGCCTTAATACAAACAGTGATTCTGTCTATTTTAAATATATTTATGGGAATGCATTCTGCTGAATAAAATCCCCAGACAATCTGACTATCCAATGAAGAGACAAAAAAACAATGTTAAAAGGAAAGTTATTTGCCAAATTCCAGTCAGGCTAAATATAATGTTCAGACCTCAACGTTACAGAAAAATAAAGCGAGTTAAGAGTCAGAGAAGACACTGAGGTGTCTGTGTAGATGAAAGCCTGTTGCCTCCCCTGAAGGGAGAATGTTCGCTGAAGAGGCATTACCCTGGAGGAGCCTTTGGTTTAAGACTGTACTGAATCAGACCAACGCTCCGCCTTATCCACTGTCCTTTCTCTTACAGGGGCCACAAGCGGATGCACAGGGAAGAGTCAAAACAGGTCACATATTTACTTTCTTATATTCTTTCCCACCCTCTGGTTATTTTCAGCTCAGGGACTCCCTGTATTTAACGGCCCGCAAGGGATTTCCCATTGATGAATGTCCGATCTGCCCTTGAACCCATGCAAACATTTTGCATCCCACAAAACCCTTTGGTGAGGAGTTTCTAAGTGTATGAGCATGCAGAACCGCATCCTTCCCTCCCCTCTCTACTCAAGTCTCACAAACGCCTCATGACACCTCCTAATTCTTACAATGATATCAGACAGCTTCCCTTTCTCAACGAGCATTGCCCTGAAATCACCCCAGGAACTGCATATTTTCATTTCTTACTGACCTGAGGGGAGCTCATCTGTCTAGGACAGGACGAGAGGAAATGGCCTCAAGTTGCACCACAGGAGATTTAGATTGGATATTAGTGAAAATTTCTTCACTGCAAAGGTTATCAGACATTGGAACAGGCTGCCCAGAGAAGTGGCTGAGCCACCATCCCTGGACGTATCTGAAAGATGTATAGATGTAGTGCTAAAGGGCATGGTTTAGCGGTGGACTTGGCAGTGTTAGGGTAATGGTTGGACTCAATGATCTTATAGGTCTTTTCCATCCTCAATGATTCTATATTAGGCACTCCTGACTTCTAAGAATGCATTCTTCCCTGTTGTTTCCACTGAGGTGAGCTTTTCTCTCCAAAAAGCTAACACTTTGCTAGTACTTGCAAAACTCACGCAAGGAACATCTTTCCTTCACCGAGTTTGTTTTAAAGGAATTTTTAAGCGCATTAAATCATCTTTCTGAGATGATTTTGCAAACTGCAGTGCAGCTTGCATATTAGAGTATGAACAGGTACACTGGCTGTTATTCATATCTGCAAATCAAGGAAGAAGTGAACTGAGTAGATTTGGTGAGACGTTCTCCTTTCCTTTTTACCATGTTAATTTGCTTAATAATTCAAAGAAGCCACAAATTTGCAAAGGGTGTACCTCTGCTGCTAGTGCCATGTATTAAGATTCCTCTGTACTGTTTTATAGTGAGGGATTTTTTTGAATGACTACTAAACCCTATGTTGTGCAAGACTAAAAAATTCCTTTTGCAGTGGGGAAAATTAACTTAAAGCTCAAAAATCAAACATCTGTTGTTTGGTTCTTCGGGTCTACTGTTAAGGAAGCAGAATGAGTGGAGAGGCCATTTAATCCCTTGGAGCAGGTAAGTTCCACTCAGAAGGGAAGGAACTCAAGATCTGGTTTGCAGTTCCCTGTTGGCAGATACTTTTGCTGTGATATTTGGTAGAAAATCAAAGGGGAGCCATCAGAATGCTGTCTTAAATGGCTTCCCTGTTCAAACAAAAACTCGAAAACATTTGAAAACTGTATAATATGCACGAAAGTCACCTCAAACCTTGCTGGGTGAATTGCTATGTATACCTTTCTTCCATAATGCTTCAAACTATGTTTGACTTGCTTTCTGAAAATACACGGATGTCAGCTTGTTATTTCCTTAAGGGCATATAACCACATTGCTAGAGCCAAGAAGCGAAGAGTACCAAAACTACATATATGCAGAGCAGACCTTACACTGGACTCTCCCAAGATGCTAGTCCCACTTCACTGTAAATGTCACGACATGTTTGCAGATTGTAAGGGGCCATTTTGGCTCATAATACTAAATTGACATGGAACACACGTTAGCAGTGACTCCTGTTATGGTGAGATTTGGTTCAGAAAAGGGAGCGGTACTGAATGTTGCTTCGACCATCACCGAGACAGCTTCCAGCTGTACCTTGCTGTCTTCATACAAATACCCGTGTTTGACATGGAGGTGGGATTCCTGGAAGTCTGACCACTTCTGATCCCTATCCTCTGTCCCGATGTAAGGATGGGGCAAACTGCTCTCACTGGTTAAAGCTGGGTGATACTATGTTAGAGTATACATAGGCCAAGCCTATGGCAGGGTCTTCAAACTCCTTTTTAGGAAAGGGAAAAGCCAAAGCATGGAAAGGAACAGAAGCTAGGTCTCTGAGGCAGATCTTCTCCTGATCTTTATCAGCTTTGTTCCATAGGAATTGCGCAGACCTACACTAGTTTACACTAGCTGATATCTGGCCCGATGAGCTTGAATGGGAACATCTTCCTGCCCAGCCTAGTCGTTCTGCTACTGGAATTCACTAAGGTTTGTTTGCAACATCATAGCCCGTAGCCAAGGAAATGAATGTGATGCCACAAATTTGCTATGATGCTTCACTTCAGGAACAAGCAAAACAGGAGCTGGCAGAGAAAGAACATTTGCTCACACAGACAGCTTTGATATTTAGCCAAAATGGCAAGAAATTGTATGAAAGACAAGACAAACAAACAGTTTTGGGAATGTCATGTATTTTAAAGTTGCCTGCAGTAGGAGAATGTTAATTTAAAATATACTTTCCTGAAATAATTTCTATTAAGTATAGGAACGTGTCGTTTATCAGACAGTTCTGGATTAAAAGGATAAACTTTTGGTTGGTAAAGATGATTGGGTGAGCGACAGCCTAATGTACCACTAGATCTCTCTTTTACAGATAAAGACAAGAAGTAACACGTGCTTGATACGAAAAGCTGTACTGTTTCGCGTAAGACTAGGTGTCAGTTTAGCCATTGTGGACTTGTAGTGAGAGAATTAACTGGAGGAACGCGGTACAATACAGCAGTTCCTACCACCACGCATTCTGCAGCTGAGTATCTGAGAGGGAACTGCAAATTCTAACAAATTAAATGGTGCAGTCATCACCCTCATTTTTATGGATAGGGAAAGGAGCGAAGAGAAAGCTGAAATGGCTTGCCCAGAGGGTGCTCAGTCAATGCATAGCAGAGAAAGGGAGAGAAATCCAATCTGATTATGAATCCAGTACTATAGCCACAAGATCATTCTTCTCATCCTGACACAAATGCTATTTAACACGAAAACTCCTTTGTGAAAAGGGACATTAACCGATAACGATCTTGCCCAACAAGGGAAAATAGCTAAGTTTCTCCCCGTGTACAGTTGTGAACCTTAGAAAATAACATTTAATTTAAAAAAGCTCTTTAAAAATCATGGTGTACAGGATGGCAGTATCTTAGACGCTGCATTGGAATGAGGGCCACAGATTCTAACACTCATATTCAGTTATGATAGTGATAAAGTCCAACTGGCATGTAGTGGAGGTGGTGTTTTCTTTGGGCAATGAGATATTAAACCCAGAAACTGTCAAGTTCAAGAAAACATTGTGTTATGTTTGTTATGGGTTCCCAAACAAACAAATTGAGAAGAGATCTGAGATAAGATAATTTGGGGGCTGTGTCTGCTATCAAGGATATGTTCTATTGAAAAGGCTTTCTATGGAGGAAAAGTGAACCCTCCCAAGCCTCATGAATCCCATCTCCATTGTGTTATCTCACTGGGGAAAATGCTGGCTTTCCAAAGGGATAGGATTCACAGCTGGAATTCTCGACTCCCAGGGCATGCCTGGCCACCCAGTAGCGGCAAATCCCCGGTGTGCATCTCCAGGGGCTCTTCCTTCCTTGGACAGCACTAATGTTCATGTTTTGGTTAATGTCACAGCTGGAGAGTTTCACTATTGCTCTGAGAATCATTAACCACCTTGTTGTGATTTTTAGCTGTCATTCCCAGGAGGCCGTGCTGTATTGAACAGCTGCTCCTGGCTCCTGCACCCCTCAGGAGGGCCATATTCCAATTTTTGGTAGGGCCATAACTGCATTTTGTTTCTGCAGAGGGCTTTCTGCTAGACCAAAAAAGGGAAGGAGAATGGAGCAAATGCCAACCCCTTTCACTCCATTTCCTTCTTGGGGGGGGGGGGGGTTCATTCTCCTCCACACAGCTAAGGAGCGAGTCTGGCCAAAATCTAACATCATTCCCGCCTTTGTTGCATAAGTGACTTTCCAATATCCTAAAGCTCTGCAGGGCAGTCAGCCATAACCCAGCGACACTCCCAGAACCGGTGCACTCAAGCAGTTCGTAACCATGGAAAACACCTTTTTTGTGCGGCTTTTATGAAACTCTGGTGAATCCGTGCTTGCTATTTGAAGGCCAATATTTAGTTAAGAAAAAAATAAACACCGATGAAAATGGAGGGTTGGTACTGATTGACACACTAAATGGAGTCCAGTGGGCCCTTCTGGCAAACCCTCGCTGCAAGGCCAGGAACTTCGGTTTGTTTTACTCTTTATGTGGCCAGCCACTTCCACTGGCTTTGGTATGTATGTAATATTTTTTTCTTAGAAAATATTTCCTATCATCTACTTTTCTGTAAAATTTGTCCCTAAATTAAATTATATGCTTCTTTACAACTCAAGTCACTGTTATTCAAAACCCTTACCAAAAGGAAGATGCATGCCTGAGTATGTACAGAACTATATGGTTAGACACCAGCGTAGCTAATTAACAAACAGTAATTATTTTCCTAATCTTTTGTTTAAATACCACTAACTGGCTGCTCTTGAGAAAACCTCGATTCCCAATTAATGTGGCAGCTGTCTGATGAACACTGAGCCACAGTGACCAGCCCGAGCCGATACCGATGGGTGGTGTTCTGCGAACTTCAGCGGACAAATGTCAGTTTTTATGCCAGCTGAGAATCGGGCCAGGCACGCATTTAGCTTGTTTACATGACCACAGTATTGCAAAAAATTAAGATTACTGCTAAAATGATGTTGGGAATTTTTTTCTTTTAGACACCACACACTGCCAGTAAACTGAGTCACAACCGTAATGACAAATATACATTGACCTAGTTTCATTTTTCCCGGTTCTGAAGACAAGGAAATAGTAAGGCATTGCTGACTATATTCAGTGATAACTATGACTAAACATTAACCTTTTAGATTCCACCACTGAATCTTATTGATAGGACTTAAAAGACGGTATCTCCCCTCAGAGAGCGTCAAAGCTTCCTGATAGCACAAGTGTTGGTCTAAGGTCAGAAAAAGGAGCAGAGGGGAGGGAATGAATCAACTTCTGAGCTCAACAAAAATCTGCTGATCAATTCTAGAAGTCCTGATTCTAGAAGATCATGTTCACGATCTTACCAGACTGTCTCATACTAAAACCCATTTTAATTTCTAAGTGAGCCAGAGTATCTTGCTGAGTTTGCAGTTGTGCGCTATCACGTAGCAGAAGGCAATGCAAAACTCTGAGAACTACCAGATTTTTAAAATGCCCCCTGGAACCTGTGCAAATCTCCTGAACAGTATATAAAGCTTTAAAAATGTAGGCTTCACATGGTCTGAATAGCGAATACCTCTTTGCACATCAAGCAGTGGTTGCATATAGCATTTAAATAATAAGCTTGAAAAGCACACAAAGGGATTTGCTCTTTCGATTAGATTGATTTTTGTTTGTGGATGTTATTTGGACTCCCTTCACTGTGGAACAAGTCCCCTACAGTTGCCATTAAAGCACTGAAAGCTTCCCTTTTGTTTTTAAATGTCAGTTTGAGCATAGCTTCATTAAATCATTTCACAATTAACTCCCTGAACATCCAGACTTTTTTAAAGCATCAAACCCAGCTGAATCACATTTGTTTCCCAGCAGAGTGAGTCCAAAGTGGTATCCCCAAGTGTGTATCCAGGAATTTGTATATTTGACTTGTGGCTACACAAAATACATATGGGAGCCGTGTGGGTGGTGGAGAGAGGATTAAAGCTTTCTCCCTGGGCCTAAGAAATACCATAGCTTCTTGCCCCAAATGCAGGGCTCGGGAACCAAGTCATAAGGGAAAGATGTCTGGGTTAATCTAGGAAGACTTATTCCCAAAAGAACTATAAATGAAGCGAACTCAAACGAGTTGTTAGTTTAGCCCAGTATATATAAGCAGCAATGTTTTCGGTGAGGCTATCTGTCTGACTTCCATGTAGTTTCTATCCTCTAAAGCCTGACTCGAGAGTCCAAACTGCCTCCTCATGACAGTTAGCAAGATCCTAAAAGTCCCAGGTCTGTGTCACAGCTTAGCTACTGGCCTTGATTTCTCTCATACGCAGTTATGTGAAATGCCAACAAAGTCAGAAATAAAAGTGTAACCTTAAGCTAACTCTTTCCTTGTTAATATAGAACCAGCTCAGAATTTTGTCCATCATACACAGAGTGGAGCGCTCTCCTGCTTCCCAAGAGCTAGTCCAGTCCTCATCTCTTGATAACCGATACACGGTGCCCGCAGCACGTTGCGCGCTGCTGTTAGCCCTTGGTTTCCGCTGCGTCTATACTTACTTGGAGAAGTGGGAGAGGTGGCCCCTCCTTCTGTTGATGTAGTTGGAGGTTTTGTGTCTGGCACTGGCAGAGGCACAGGCCTAGCCATTGGTGGCGGAGGTGGTGGTGGCAACATTGGGGTAGGAAGGAATGGATTGTGCACCTTGCCTTGGCTGCTACCATTGGGCTGCCAAAAAACAAGCAAACAGACAAAAATTATACTAAAAATCAGCTGTTAGGAACCTCCAGTAATAACAATCTAGTTGAGGGCTACGTGCAACACATTTGCAATTACTTGAGAGATGGCAAAGAAAGTGCTGGGTCAAATTCTCCATTGACTTCAAGGAACTGTCTCAAAATCTGTGAAACTATGGAAATTCTCACTTTTAAACATTTGTCATATTAGCAGCTGGTCTAACTGCCCTGGATTAAATTCTACTACTCTTTACCTTTCCTGCAGCCACTACCTGATGCTCAGTGAGAGTTGAAGCTGTGTTTCTGACCCCTTCGATTCCCCAGTTTCATGTCTCTGTTATAGCCTTAGGATATCAGTGCCTAGGACTTGAGCGTAAATTTCTTAAAGATACTGCTCATTAAGAGAAAAACCAAGCATTTTTGGTGGTCTTAAAAGTCGTGCTGATCTCTTATTACAGGAGAATGAACGAGTGTATGTTAAAGTAACTGCTCTCCCACATCCCTTTTGAGTTAGCAATAGTGTAGCTCACTGTTTAGTTGCCGTTAGGATCGTATAGAGAAACGACCAAACTTAGAGCTGCTTCATTTTACGCACTGGGAACACCCCCAACCTCCCTTTAGTCTGGGATGTGGTCAGTCGCAGGCAGAATGGTCCCAGCTATACAAGTGTGATCTTTCAATTAACCACCAGAAAAACCTGTCCAGAGAGCTGGGGCTGTTCAGCCTGGAGAAGAGAAGGCTCCGGGGAGATCTTATTGCGGCCTTCCAGTCCCTAAAGGGGCTACCGGAGAGCTGGGGAGGGACTTTTTACTGGGGCATGGAGTGACAGGATGACGGGGAATGGCTATAAACTGGAAGAGGGCAGGTTTAGATTAAACATTAGGAAGAAGTTTTTCACTTTGAGGGTGGTGAGGCACTGGAACGGGTTGCCCAGAGAGGTTGTTGAGGCCCCATCCCTGGAGGTGTTCAAGGCCAGGCTGGACGTGGCCTTGGGCAACCTGGTCTGGTGGGAGGTGTCCCTGTCTATGGCAGGGGGGTTGGAACTCGATGATCTTCAAGGTCCTTTCCAACCTAAACCATTCTATGATTCTATGATCACAAAAACAAGAAGCAGGCTTAAAAAAAATGCCTCCCCTTCCCCCAGCTTGTTAAGTTTACATTTTAAATGTAATGCAGCCTGGACACTTGAAAACCATACAGATAGATGCCAAATACCATTATAAAGAGAAAGTAGGACAGCCTGTGAATCAGGTGTTCCATTTTAGTGACAAAAATGATGAGATCACTTTCGACAGCACTCTACAAATTGATCTCACTGCAGTTCTTCTGGCACTGAGCATTGGCTTTTCCATTGATGATAAAAGCTCAGCTTTAAACGCAGATCCATATTCTAAGTACTGCTAAAGAAAATAATATTTTAATTCCTGTTAGGGTTTCCATTAGCCTGAATTACTGGGGACAAAATACTCACACTGGCAAACGCTCAGGCCGTTATTTTCATTTCACCTGCTTTGGCACTGACAAAAT